TATACTGCTCCACTCACTGGTTATCCCATTGTAAGTCAAAGCTTTTTGTACCTGCTTGTCATGAATAGTAACATTTCCCTGTAATTAGATTCCAGGGTTTGGCAAAGCTGGACAGTGGCATAGACATCTTCCAATGTTTCCCTTCTCCCCACGCTTTGCACCTGCTAATTCGCTAAATAATGATATGGCCTCTAAAAATACCTGTCAGTCCGCGGATTTCTTTTTCGCGATCATTTTTTATCGTAGCTGCCATTATATTTATCTATTTTGTCCACGGGTAGAACTTCGTTATAGCTCGATCATCTGCCCGTATGATTGTATTGTGATCTGAAACGCGATACTTCAAGCTATCTGAGCAATAACAGTTACCAGAGGGCATTGCAGCTAGAGATCCATTAACCCATGAGTCTTTGTCTGGATCAGAGATTCAAATTATAATACTACTATGGTTTTAGGTATTCGGGTTGATTCAAATCACATAGTGTAAAGAATCGTTAATATAATTATTGCGACGCCGCCTAGAAGTAGGCAATATAATACACTTTAAAACAAAATAATTATCGATTGCATTTTTATTTATATACAACAGCCGAAAGGTATGTTTTATTTCATTTTTTACGATATTAAAAAAATTATGATGATTTTTTTGGTATGTTACGAATCAAAGCCATTGGGAATGAACCAGCAAATTATCATTTCCTAATCTTTACTTTTCGTTTTCAAGGAATCGTTGCTATAAATATTTATGGTAAAATCGATGACATGTATAGCAAATGCCGCATTATTAAATTTACGTTAATGGTAATAGAAAATGAGCGAAATGGACATTAGACTACATAAAAAAAAATAAAATAAATTATTATCAATTCCAAATTATCCCAATAAAAAACAAATTACCTTCATTTATTGAAAACGAAAGCTTTTCCAAAACCAACTATTCTTTATTTCTTAATGACAAACAAAAAACCTGCAGATTTTTTTCCTAAACAACACCGAGGTCTTGAAATTTTTCAAAGTTATAAGAAACACTCACACTCATACACATTTTTAATTTTTTTATCAATAACAAAAAGTAACTAGCAAAAACTTCACAATAAAACAATAAATGAAAAGAAATAACATTAAACAAAAAAGAAAATTAAAACCGTTAAACAAAATAATAACATTTTTGAATTAATCAATATTTCTCACACGTCAAAAATTCCCCCCAAAAAAACAACAGAAAAACTACAAAATTTCCCCACAAATTTATAAACAGAAAAACAAAACAAAACAAGAAACCAAAAAAAAAAAAAATCTATTAATAAATCGATTAATCTTAATTTATAATTTAAGCTAAATTTAATATAACATAATAATAAGAAAAAAAATATAATAAAAATCCAAGTCTTAAGAAAAAAATCTATAAAAACCCCCTACTTTAATAATAACTAAATATTGTATTTGTAAAATAAGTAACTGATAATTGAAATCGAAAAATGCAAAAACCAAAAAATTAAAAAAAAAATAAATAAGAAAAAAATTGTTGTTATTGAATGTATTTGTATAGAGAATTATTATGATTATGATACAAAACCAAAACAAAAAAATGAAATTATAATAATGAATAATAAATGATTAAAAACGAAAAACCAAAAAACAGAAAAATAATTATTGTTCAAAAAAATGAAATAAATAAAAAAATTTAACTAAAAAAATTAAGACGCAATTATTTTGTTGTATATGAATGGTTTGTAGCTAAAGAAATCTAGAAGTAATTTTCTGAGTTATTTTTTTAGAAAGGATGAATAGAATAATGAATTTAATTTTTAATAACATTTTTTTTTTTTTTGGAAAATTATAAGAGACATAATATAAGAATTATAACAGCTCTAAAATGTGTGGATTTTTAAATAATTTTTTTTTTAGATTTATTAGAGCCATAGGTGCGGATTTTTAGAGAATATTTTTTAGAGATTTATTACAGCCTTAAGCGTTGATTTTTAAAGAATACTTTTTAGAGAATTATTGCAGCCTTAGACGTGGATTTTTAAAGAATATTTTTTAGAGAATTATTAGAGCCTTAGGCGTGGATTTTTAAAGAATATTTTTGAAAAAATTGTTAGAGCCATAGGCGTGGATTTTTAAAGAATATTTTTTAAAAAATTATTAGAGCCATAGGCGTGGATTTTTAAAGAATATTTTTTAAAAAATTATTAGAGCCATAGGCGTGGATTTTTAAAGAATATTTTTTAAAAAATTATTAGAGCCATTGGCGTGGATTTTTAAAGAATATTTTTTAAAAAATTATTAGAGCCATTGGCGTGGATTTTTAAAGAATATTTTTTAAAAAATTATTAGAGCCATAGGCGTGGATTTTTTAAAGAATATTTTTTAAAAAATTATTAGAGCCATAGGCGTGGATTTTTAAAGAATATTTTTTAAAAAATTATTAGAGCCATAGGCGTGGATTTTTAAAGAATATTTTTTAAAAAATTATTAGAGCCATAGGCGTGGATTTTTAAAGAATATTTTTTAAAAAATTATTAGAGCCATAGGCGTGGATTTTTAAAGAAAAATTATTAGATTAAAAAATTATTATTATTTTGAAGAATATTTTTAACAGAATTATTAGAGTCATAGACAGAATTTTTATATCCTTTACCACATTGTAGTACAGGGTATTATGTCCTCGTGCACATGTTTGTAACAGGCAAAAGGTAACGAGATAGATCCATGGTTCCTTTGAGAATACGCATTTCTGGGTCGATTTAAGCATGTCCGTCCGTCTGTCTGTCCATGTTAAATTGTATTCATGATCCGCCCACTTATTTGGTACAAAGACGAACTCTATTGAAATTTGAAAAAATCGGTTCAAATTTATATATGGGTTCTCCCAAGACATAATTTTTGCCCGTTTGACCAACATTTTACACATCGCATTGAATTGAGTACACATTGACGTATGTCAAGTTTTGTACAAATCGATTCAGATTTAGATGTAGCTCTCATATATATTTTGTTTACTGAATTAAATTTAAAATGACATATTTTAAATTTCGTTGAAATTGGTTCAGATATAGCTATATTGATATAGCTCCCATGTATATATATATATATATATATATATGTTCATCCGATTTTATGTAAATTCACCAAAGGCCATATACTTCTTTCGATTGATATTAAATTGTGCATGTCGTATCAAAAGAAAACTTAAGATGATTTGTGCTAAGTTTCGTTGAAATCGGTTCAGATTTACATATAGCTCTCCTGGGTGTTTTTATCCTATTTTGTGTGATTAGAGTACCAAAGCCCCTATATTTTTTTTAGATTTGCACAAAAGTTTGCACAGAGTACTGAATTGCGTAGAGAATGAACCGTGAAAATCGGTTCAGATTTAGATATAGCTCCCAAATATATTATTGTCCGATTTGATGTAAATGGTGCACCGAAGTCCATATATATTTTTCGATTTCCACGAAATTTGGAATAACGTAAATTTGTCCCGTTGCACGCAAACGACTTTAAATCTGCCCGAATGGAATGACATTTTAGCATAGGTTGAAGAAGGCATTGGAACCTCATCATCCTGTGTTCCGTGCACAAAAAGAAGATAAGACGATATATGCTAACTTTAGAGGAATTAGCTTTTCTTCCCATTGCATACAAAGTGCTATCCAGTGTGCTGTGTGAACGACTGAAGCCCATGGTCTATGACATAATTGGACGATACCAATGCGGCTTCAACCTGGCAAATCCACCATTGACCAGATTTTCACTCTACGCCAAAATCTGGAAAAGACCCACGAAAAACACACCTATATACCACCTATTCGTCGACTGTAAAGCCGTATTCGACAGCCCTATCCGTTCAGAGGTGTTTAAAGCCATGTCTGCGTTTTGCGTTTAATACCGCTATGCAGGATAACTTTAAGTGGCACAAGGTCAGCAGTTAAAGTCGCAAAGGATCTATCAGAGCCTTTCAATACCGAACGAGGATACAGACAAGGTGACAGTTTGTCGTGTGATCTTTTTAACATCCTGGAAAAGGTCATACGTGACGCAATAGTGAACAGAAATGACACTTTGTACACCAAACCACACGTGTTACTCGCCTACATGACATTGACGTAATGGGTGGAACATTGAGAGCGGTAACAGCCACCTTTGAATAAATTGAGAAGGAGTCTGCCAAAGTGGGTCTGGCAGTAAACGGCGAGACGACCAAGCTGATGGCAACAACGCGCAAGACATCCAGTAGACTCGGGCCAACTTTGGAAGTTGAGAACTACAGCTTTGAGGTAGTTAAAGATTTTATATATCTTGGTACCGCCATAAATAAAACGAATGACACACTTTACAAGACGCTGATACTACCCATGCTGTTATATGGATCTCTTGGGGTGTTTGAGAGAAAAATTCTCCGAAAGATCTACGGGCCGACGGTGAATGTCGGAGTCGAATGAACCACGAGCTTTACATGCGGACATCGACATAGTCAGTCGTATTGAGCTGCAGCGACTACGGTGGCTAGGCCATGTGGAATACTGTGGATGGAAAGACCAAGTACAAGACAAAATCTTGGAACGTGATATTTCAAATTGGAGGAGAGACGCAGAAGACCAACGCGCTTGGAAATCTTTTTTAAGCTCGGCTTATAGAGCAGCCGTTTTTTAACAAGCCAGCTAAGTAAGTAAAGTGCGGAAAGACATGTGTATAGATTGATGTTAGTCGGTTAACCTATAGATAAAGATTACATATTTAAGTTCGTTCTATTTCATGTCAAGTTATGAAGGGTATAATATAGTCGGCGCAGTCCGACTTTACTGCTTTTACTTACTTCACTGGTTATAATCTAATCTAGTGACATATTATAAAAATGTCTTTCGCCTAGTATCAACATATTATTCATATCCAATTCGCTTTGATATAAAAAATTGTTTTTTTTATTTATGTTTATATACTATTTGTCAGTCTCTTTATTAATTACATTTGATAAAAATCCTCTCAAAATTATTTTATTTATGGACATGACCAATTTTATGTACGGTAGCTTCAAAACCTTTCTTTTTGTCTGATGTATATTGAACAACGCGCCTCGTGCCATCAGCTTCCTTAAAGGCATACACACCTAAATATACAAAGAAAATTAATAAATAGAAAATAAATTAAAATTTAAAACAAACTCCTCAGCTTACCTTTAACACTATCGCCATCTCGTATTTCCCAATGATTTTTAACATCGCCAGTATGAGAATCTTTCACACCATATTGATAGGCGTATTTAGCATCATCCATATTATAATCATCTTTGTCATGACCATAGTTGTAATCATCGTTATGGTCTCCTTCATCATTACCATTATTACCATAGAATTTGCTCACATGCTCCACATTTTCATTATCGTCGTAATCATAGCTTCCCTTAATGTTGTGATTTTGCTCTTGCCCTCCATGTGAAGAACTATCAACATGGGCTACGGAGAAACTAATTTTCTTAATTTGTCCGTACGTTCCACTTATTGCCCAAAAACTTATAATTGCTAAAACAATGCTAATATTTATTTTACGCATTTTGAGTTTGCGAGACTATTTAAATATTATTTTGAAATGCGGCAACATTGAGAATTGTTTCATGTATTTATATCGTAATAAGCTAAAATAACATATTATGAGTCAATTTCAATATGAAGTAATAGCTTACGTTATATGTGTGTGTCTGTTTAATCATAGCATTTACTTAAATTACTTAACTTAATTACTACCGAATTTATTTAAATAAGTTTCCTTTCAAATGCGGAAAATGACATGGTGTTGATGCTGGGTGTTATGGGCCTTCCTCCTCTACCACGTGGTGTGCATTCAAAATTCCTTAAATTGCTCGTGACCTTTCTATGGGAACTATTTTATGACTTTATGTGTTAGTGGGTTCTTTATACTCTAAAAAAATGTTCCGAATTACAGACATTTAGGTTGGGAAACTGGGGTGGGAACTCCAACATATTTGTGTGGGAGATATTTTTAAACACAAATCTATTTTAAAACGTTCAAACTTCAAAGTCAGACGGGGCCGACTAAATGATTACCCTTCACAACTTCAGGCACATACAAGATATGCACATATTTCTCATCATCAAATATGTGATATTTGAACCAAATTAAATCAACCCATTGGTGTACGATTTCTATGAAGTCGAACAAAATGATATATGGGAGCAAATCTGGACTGATTTGAGCAAACCTGGCATAAATCAGGTGCTATGCTGCAGCACAGAGTACTGTCTAAAATTTAATCTCGATCGGTATCGGATCTAAATCTGAACCGATATCAACAAACTTTAACACACATTATTTCATATAAATATAACAAACACCATTATCTTGAAATCGGGGAAAAAATATATATGACAGTTATTTATAAATCGGCACCGATTCCAACAAAATTTAACACACAACATTCTAGACTCAATTCAATGGGAATATAGCACTCATCGATCTAGACTCCATTCGGCATGGTATTCCAAATTTCGTCTTAATTGGACAAACTTTGGGAGATTAGTGCACCATTTACATAAAATCGAGTGAACGTATATATAAGAGCCAGGGACGTACGCAGGGGGGCGGCCCGGGGGGCCCGGACCCCCCCCCAAAATGAAATCCTGAGTACGTTGCTTATGGGAGCTATATCTAAATCTGAACCAATTTTTACGAAACGTAGTACCCACATTTTAAGACTCAATATGATACGCTATGCACAATTTCGTGTAAATTTAAAGAAAAACAGTGAGCAGAGCAGTATAGTCGGACGGGGCCGACCATACGACTACCACGGAACTCTAACTTTCTGCTGGAGCCTGGACAATATTTCGTGATATTTGCACCCTCTTGCCCCATTAGAGGTAAACAGCACCTTTTCCTTACACTGACATATTTTCCGAATATTACCAATATTCAGTTCTTCTAATTACTTGTCCATATTCCCTTCACCGTTGGTTGTGTTGTGATGTTCGGCTTTCAATTGTGGCCTATACATCAACTCGAAAAAACACAAAAAATTAAGTTTTCGGTCCATTTCATCCCAAAATGATTATGTGATCATCATCGAAAATATAGGCATTGTGCTTGACCCTAACTGGAATCTCATGGAAAATTTCAAAGCAATCAGCGCTATAATTCTGCACTCTAGTGTGGTAATGGGTTACTAAATAATATCTCAGTACGAAAGTACCCGTAAATATTTATGTTAACTCCCACATCCGAATACATACGACCATATAATAGTAATAAATTTAAAGGTCAACCACTCATCTTGAACATAATATCAACTTCTCGGGTCTAAGACCTCCGGGGGTAAATATATATGTCATAGAATACAAATTTTGTAATTTTTCACACAAAAGTCAGGGTCCATTTGACCTGCTAAATATTGACCGATCTTTATCAAAACAGGCATACTTATTCTTTGGCCCACGCACGCGGTGTTTGGGCCATAATTGCGGCCTATGGAGCGAGGAGAAAAACCGATAAAAATAAAGTTTTTGGTCCATTTCATCCTCTAAATATTAAACGATCTTTTCCAAAAACAATAGGGGTCTGCATTGGCCAGAACCCATCCTACATGCAAAAATTCGTGAAGATTGGTCCATAACTGTGGCCTGTACCGTGTTTACAAATTATAATGGACAGACGGACGGACACACATGTCTAGATCGACTCAGCTAGTCGAGATATGACGATCGGTATAATTAATGGTGGGCCTAGGACCAATATTTCGCGGCGTTACAAACTTTTGGGGCTGCACAAATCTATAATACCCTGACAACATAGTTGTGTAGGGTATAAATATCAGAGCTTTTGTGCACCCTTCACATAAAATCGAACAAAAATATATATGTGGGAGATATATTTAAATATAATCCCATTTTAACGACACTTAGCACATTCATTCATTCTATACTCCATGTAGTATGGTATTCTAAATTTCGTTTCAATCGGACAAACATTGGAAGTTTAGTCCACCATTTACATAAAATCGGACAATAATATATATGGGAGCTATATCTAACTCTGAACCGATTCAAGAAAAACTTCACAGACGTCAAACTGGCACAGTACGCTGTGTTAAATTTTGTCTTAATCGGATAAATATTGGGAGTTTGGTACATCGTTCACATAAAATCGGACAAAACTATATATGGGAACTATATCTAAATCTGAATCGATTTCAATAAAGCTTTGCATGCATCAAGATGGACTAAATTTGGTACATTATGCACTACTTTGTCTTAATCGGTAAAAAAATTGGGACTTTGATCATCATTCACCTAAAATCGAAAAAAATATATATGAGAGCTATATCTAAATCTGAACCGATTTAAATAAAACTTCACAGATGGCAAACTGGACTTAAGACAGTACTCTGTGAAATATTTTGTCTCAATCGGACAAATATTGTGAGTTTGGTGTACCTAACATCGGAATAAACTATATATGGAAGCAATATGCGATTTTAATGAAACTTAACACACTTTATCCTATCCCAATTTCACACGATATGCCAAATTTAATCTCAATCGGACAAAAATTGGGAGTTTGGTCCACCATTTGGATAAAATCGGTCGAAAATATATATGGGTGCTTTATCTACATCTGAACCGATTTTCCCCGATTTCAATAAGATTCGTCCTTGAGCCAAATAAATGAGCTGTGCCAAATTTTATCTAATTCGGATCATCAATGCGACCTGTACTTTGCTCATAAAAATACTTGGACTGTCGGACAAACACACGCACGGACATGCATAAATCGACTCAGAAAGCGATTCTATGTACATATATTTTCAAAAGGAACCATGTGTCCATAATACGGTGTACCACAGTGTGGTGAAGGGTATAAAAACTAAATGGATGCTATTGACTGTGACTCACTGCATTTATTTATTACTTGTCGAATAGTTACCCCCATATCAAATTTTAGAGTTATTGCTCAATTTGTACCAATACCAATCATACCACATTGTGGTGGCGTTTTGTACTTCTCGTACACTTTAGTACCTATTTCCCAAACCTCCCCCTAAGTGTGTGTACTAAAAAAAGCAATTCGACGTTTTTCTACAATACACGTTTGCAACACTGTTAAAAGAATTCTCCCATGACGCCAAAGCATTTTTATGAGAGAATAAAACAGGCCAAAGAGAATCAACTGGTGGGGGCCATCAAATTGTAAACAAGAACAACACACAACAACAAAAGAGAGAGCCAACCATCTAATGGAGACTCGCGTTAAGAGTTGGATATCCAAAAACCAAAAACAACAACAAAAATGAAAACCAAAAAGAAACGAAACGTCAACCATATCGCACCGTATGATTCAGTTGTGTTGTGAAACTCTTGGGGTTTGTGTTGTGCCCGTTCGTTTATTGTAATCATTATTTATCGCACAAAGCAGGTACATAGTACGCCGAATGAAATCAGCTGTGGCTTTAAAAAATCACACAAAAAATAAATTTCCTCCCATTAAAAATATTTTATCAAGTGGTGAGTTTGAAAATAAAAAATAAATCAAATATATCTAAAATATATTTTGTGAATTTCGTGAAATGTTTAAAACAGAAATAATGATATCATCGCACTGAGAAAGTTAATGAATAACTTCATTGTTGTGTTTGTGTATTTTGTTTTTGGTTTGCTCTTCTTTTGTGTGTTCTAAATGGGGGAGCATAAAAAAGGGAACCAGTTTGTAAGAGAAACATTTCAGATTCTCTAAGATATGAATATAGATATGGTAGCGTGTGTTAATATTCGTGTTTGTAAATATGTATATGCCGGCAAATAATAATATCCAGAGCTGGATATACTCAATTTGGTATATTAAAAATGTTAATGTTGTGTACAGTGAGTCGCAAAGAAAATTATGCACATTACAATATTTGGCACTTATAGGACTTATATTTCTCAACTATAATGGCCACATTGAAAATCATACTGTCTTCAAATACTTGAAAAAACAAATATGAATCATTTCTACAAATTAATCATATACTCAGTTTTGTGAAATTCGTACAGTGAGTCACATTCAAAAGTATCCCCTTGATGTTTTTTTTATACCCTACACAACTATGTTGTCAGCATCTCCAAGAGTTTGTGCTGCCCATGAGCTTGTAACGCCGATGAGCTTGCAGTCGATCTAGACATGTGTATCTGTCCGTCCTTCTATCCATTATAATTTGTAAACACGATACAGGCCACCGTTATGGACCAATCGTCACGAAATTTTGCATGTAGGACCGGTTGCATCAGATTTTTGTTACACTTTACGCGTGAGTTTTCTTATTTGGATAGCCATGTTGAACATTCGAGACCATGGGACGCCACACAACGATTGTCGAGAGAAAATTAGTTCTTCACCATGCTGAACTAGGAAAATGGTGAATAGCGGAAATAATCAGTATTATTTATTATCAATATATCCAAAAAAATTATATTGAGGCACAAAACAAAAAATCGAATTTTCAACAAGCCGAAAACCAGCGAGAAAAAATATTCAACATAAGAGACGACAAGAGGTTGCTATGA